TCTCTCTCTCTCTCTCTCTCCTGCCCTGTCCCTCACTTTGTGTTTCCTTCCCTTGTCTCCTTCACTCTCCACTCCCTCCTATTAAAGCTTCCCAACTTTCTGGTCGCCTAGTGACACGCCCCTCTACAACCTGGAGCCCTGCGAGCCGCTGCCCTTCGACGTGGCTCGATTCCGCGGCCTCACCGCCTCGCTGCTGCTGGACCTCACCTACCTCACCAGTATCCACGAGGAGACCGCCGCCAAGCTCAGCGCACGCCGCCACGAGAAGAAGCACCGGAATGCGGCGTCCATGGGCCACGAGCCGACTGAAGAAAAGGCGGACAACGAGGGACACGGCCGCGGTGAACAAAAAGAAAACAACGGAGCCTCACCTGGAGCTAATACCACGACCTCTGACCTCAGGGTGTCCCACAGCCTGGATGAGGTCAAAGCTCACGTGGCGCCAAACTCAAAGTCAGAGAGCGAGATCTCCTCCGTGGTCAGCGGAGGGAACGAGCCTCTTTTCGCCGCAGCTCCTCACACGCCCTGCGAGGCGAACAGGAAGAAAGGCCACGAGCACGGCGGCTCTCGCAGCCACGAACACTCTCCCTCCTCCATCGCCACACAGTCAGAGATCCACGCCGTTCAGCTGTCCTACCTGTACCTGGGCGCCATGAAGACCCTCAGCGCCCTGCTGAGCTGCAGCAAGTACGCCGAGCTGCTGCTCATCCCAAAGGTACCGCAGATCCTTCAGACAGACCGTCACGGGTCACGGGTTCGATTCTGTAGAGATGATGTGTAAGAGCTGAGCTCATGTAATCCCACACTCTGACCTTTAATCTGACCACGCCCAGGTAACAGGTTCTCAGACAGTCAGGGGAGGGTTTTAATCTGGAGAGATTTGAAAATAATAATAAAAATATAAATAAAATTAAATCATATAATCTGGGTGGATTATAATCCCTAACTGTGATTTTAAAGGTTAATCTGGGTGGATTATAATCCCTGACTGTGACTTTAGAGGTTAATCTGGGTGGATTATAATCCCTGACTGTGATTTTAAAGTTAATCTGGGTGGATTATAATCCCTGACTGTGATTTTAGAGGTTAATCTGGGTGGATTATAATCCCTGACTTTGACTTTAGAGGTTAATCTGGGTGGATTGTAATCCCTGACTTTGACTTTAGAGGTTAATCATGCTGGATTATAGTCCCTGACACTTGTTGGCGTGTTGATTCAGACTTCCTCTCTCTCTCCTGCGAAGGTCTTGCCTGAAGCCCCTCCCAGTGGACATAACGACGATCTGAACACCAACTCCAGCGGCGGCCCATCGGCCACCTCGCCAGTGTGTCAGGAGGAGGTGGAGATGAGGGCGGCGCTGCAGTTCCTGATGCGTCACATGGTGAAGCGGGCGGTGATGCGCTCCCCCATAAAGCGGGCTCTGGGTCTGGCGGACCTGGAGAGAGCTCAGGCCATGATCTACAAACTGGTGGTGAACGGACTGATGGAGGAACCCAGCGGAGGAAAAACCAAACCAGGTCAGATCTTTGTGAGGGTCCTCCTGATGACAGGAGACCTCATGTCCTTTGGTGGTTTAGATCTGGTCTGGGGGCTTCCTGCTCCGTCAGGTTCATGTGGGACACTAACCCTCAGATAGTTTTAGCTCCATCCAGACGACTTTGTCCCCAAAACAGAAGAGTTCATAAAATCATCGTTTTTAAACTGTTTTTTTACTTTTTATCCCTCAAATCTCTGAAACACCTTCAGCTCTGATCATTAAAACAGTAATCAATAATCAATTTGATGTTTTTCTCTTTTTATGTCAGTTTTTGTTCATCATGTCATATTTATTGATAAAGTTCTGATCAGTCTGTTGGAGCAGAAAAACTCGACATTTTCTCCTCCTCTTCTCGAACCTCGTCCTCGACCAAATCAAATTCATGTGTTCATAATAAATTAATGTTCTATATAAACATATAAAATCAGCAGATCTCTGTAAGATAGAATCATTTATGAGTGTTTATCCTCCTCTAACTAAAATCTGACCCTGATTACTCTGATATAAAAATAACTGCTGATTTGAGATGTGATATCTTCTCCCCTGATGATCTGAAGGACCTGTTCATCCTCATGTCCATCCACCTGCTCTGAACTGAGGACAAAGAAGAAACTGTCCAAATGTCCCCCTCTCTTTGTCCCACACTGCAGAACTTGGACATCAGATTCTCGACTGTAAAAACTCCCATCATGCCCGGTTCTAAACATGGAGGCAGATTCTCACCCGTGCACACACGCAGGAGCACACAGACTTCTCCTTCCACACATATCCCACTCTGAGACATCCAGATCTAGAGTCATGTAAAGTTTCCTTCATGTCTGAGGATGTTTAGTGGATGAATCTTCAGACTCTCTCAGTCCATGAATGAAGACTTGCGTGCTCAGCGGCTCTGAAGGGGTTAAAATGATGTGCGGCTCAGTCTGTCGTCTCACTAAGTCAGATTTAGAGTCCTGCTGATCGACTGACTGCAGAGAAAAAGGTTTCATATGTTGTTATGGAGCCGTAAACACACGCTCAAAAAAACTGTTTTTAATGGAAGTCTATTGGCCGACAAAGGAGGGTGGGCGGAGCTAAAGTGACGGAGAACTAGAGGAGACACCGAGTTTTTATTTAATATGAAGAAAAATAAGAACTTTAGAACTGAGACTGTCAGCTCAGAGGAAAGAGGAGGAGCCGAGGGTTAGACAGTCTTAGATCTTTGGTTCTGGTTTGAGACTCTTCTCTGTGGTTTTACCCCCCAGGTGTGAGGACTGAACCTGAGGGGGAGGGAGAGTCCACAGAGGGGGAGCAGTTGGCTCAGACCCCCGTCACCACCAGCCCCTCGGCCTCCAGCACCACCTCCTTCATGAGCTCCTCCCTGGAGGACACCACCACAGCCACCACCCCCGTCACCGACACGGAGACGGTCCCGGCCTCCGAGTCTCCGGGGGTCATGCCCCTCAGCCTGCTCAGGTCAGGACCGGTTCTGGTCGGACTCAGAAGGTCTTTGGTCTCGGTGACGTGTTCCTCTAATGTTCCTCTGTGTCTGCAGACAAATGTTCTCCAGCTACCCCACCACCACCCTGGTCCCCACCCGGCGGGCTCAGACCCCCCCGGTGTCCTCTCTGCCCACGTCTCCGTCAGACGAGGTGGGGCGCCGGCAGAGTCTGACCTCCCCGGACTCCCAGCCCAACAGACAGCAGACCAGAACCGGGACCTGTAAGTATGAGGGACTCTCAGATGTTGTTCTGGAGCTCTTCTTCATGGTGGTCTTAAAGTTCTGATGGTTCTGGACCTCTTCATGGTGGTCTTAAAGTTCTGATGGTTCTGGACCTCTTCATGGTGGTCTTAAAGTTCTGATGGTTGTGGACCTCTTCATGGTGGTCTTAAAGTTCTGATGGTTCTGGTTGATCTCCTCCAGCTCTGTCGGACCCCAGCAGCAGACTGTCCACGTCTCCTCCTCCTCCCGCCATCGCGGTGCCGCTGTTGGAGATGGGCTTCTCCTTACGCCAGATCACCAAAGCTCTGGAGGCCACGGGTCAGTGTGTGTCTGTAGACCTGGATCCATGTTTGGACCAGAACTCTGTGGGCCCGGTTTCAGAGGTCGTCTAAGATCAGGTGTGTTTCTGCGCTCTCAGGTGCTCGAGGTGAAGCCGACGCTCAGAACATCACGGTGTTGGCGATGTGGATGATTGAACACCCCGGCACTGAAGACGAACACGAGGAACCTCAGACCCGGGGCGGTGGCGGCGGCAGCGGCGGCGGCGGTGTGGGGGGAGAAGGCTCAGACTCTTCCTGTCCCGGAGCCACGGCCTCTGCTGGAGGCAAATCTCTGGACCGGAGCTCCTACCTGTGCTCACCTGGAGACATCGCCAGTGCCGACACCTCCGAGATGGAGGAGGGCTTCAGTGAGAGGTGAGGGTCAAAGGTCAACAGGTCTGCGGCGCTACAGTTAGAACCATGCAGGAACCGGGTCCTTCATAGTCCACTCAGAGCCCAAAGAGGACCTGATAGAAGACAGAAACGGGCTCTAGAACCAGAACTGAGGAGCGACCCGCTCTGAAGACCCGATCAGCTGTTTACGGTTTCAGCTGACTGAGGTCTGACCCGCTTTAGATCAGCGCGGGGGGGGGGGGTCCGATGTGTAGCGGTTTGTGGGCGTCCCTGAAAAACCGTCAAAACAACAGATCTGTTTAATTAACGACGTTCTTCCTGATTATGAGGAAAACATGAAAAAGTGGGCGGAGTCTGTGCAGCCTGTCACTGCTGACGGTACGAATAACATTAACAGTTTTTTACGGCGTCTTCATTTTCTCTGAGGGGACATCTGTTAATTTTAGGTCTATGATTCCTGCAGAAACACTCGTTCACTTGATGATTTAACGTTTATGTTTGTTTTTCTCTTTAAATGTTTTTATAGTTTCTGAGTTTATTTTCTTTATTTTCTTTATAAATTAATAAAATCTTGACTTCATCTCTCGTTCCTTCAGTTTTTAGTTCAGATGTTTTAAAACTGTCAGTTTAAAGAAAATCGTGATAATAATCGTGATCGGACGATATCATCATCACGATCTTTTTTTTTAATTTGGCGAATCGCGCAGTCGGAGGTTAAAGGGTTAAAGTTCGCTCTGCTTCTGTCTTTGTAGTCCTGAGGGTCTGGATCAGGACGCGGCCTCGGCCTCCAGCGGCGCTCCGCTCAGAGGACGCTCAGCCGCCGGCAGGAAACACCGCTTCGACCTGGCGGCTCGCACGCTGTTGGCCCGTGCAGGTGAGCCTCCTGCTCCACAGCAGATGTTCTGATGTTGACTCCTCCTCCTCCTCCTCCTCCTGACTTTGACTCCTCCTCTCTCCTGAAGCCGGTCTGTACCGCTCGGTCCAGGCCCACCACAGCCAGTCTCGGCGGGACGTCCCGTCCCTCCAGCAGCAGCAGGACTCTGGCGCCCTCTACGACTTCAACCTGGACGAGGAGCTGGAGATGGACCTGGACGAGGAGACCATGGAGGCCATGTTTGGACAGGACCTGGCCTCTGACACCGACATTCTGGGAATGTGGATCCCGGAGGTACTGGACTGGCCAACATGGGTGTGTGTGACTTTCTGCTCTGGCGCCATGGCTGCCGTCATTCTGCTCTCTACCCACAATGCATCACTTCATTGTACACATGCACGCTGACACACACAGACCCTGTGGCTACCTGATCTGTCCCTGAAACCCGATCAGTTCTGAGCATGTGCGAAACAAACATCACTTCCTCTACTCGCCATCTTTGTGACGCTTCGACATCAGCGAGCTCGCTTCAGTTTATCAATACTTCAGTTTAATCAATACTTCATCTTATCAATACTTCATCTTATCAATACTTCAGTTTAATCAATACTTCAGTTTATCAATACTTCAGTTTATCAATACTTCATCTTATCAATACTTCAGTTTATCAATACTTCAGTCTTATCAATACTTCAGTTTATCAATACTTCAGTTTATCAATACTTCATCTTATCAATACTTCAGTTTATCAATACTTCATCTTATCAATACTTCAGTTTATCAATACTTCAGTTTATCAATACTTCAGTTTATCAATACTTCATCTTATCAATACTTCAGTTTATCAATACTTCAGTTTATCAATACTTCATCTTATCAATACTTCAGTTTAATCAATACTTCATCTTATCAATACTTCAGTTTATCAATACTTCAGTTTATCAATACTTCATCTTATCAATACTTCAGTTTATCAATACTTCATTTTAATCAATACTTCATCTTATCAATACTTCAGTTTATCAATACTTCATCCTATCAATACTTCAGTTTATCAATACTTCATTTTAATCAATACTTCATCTTATCAATACTTCATCTTATCAATACTTCAGTTTATCAATACTTCATCCTATCAATACTTCAGTTTATCAATACTTCATCTTATCAATGCTTCATCTTATCAATACTTCAGTTTAATCAATACTTCATCTTATCAATACTTCATCTTATCAATACTTCAGTTTAATCAATACTTCATCTTATCAATACTTCATCTTATCAATACTTCAGTTTAATCAATACTTCATCTTATCAATACTTCAGTTTATCAATACTTCATCTTATCAATACTTCAGTTTAATCAATACTTCAGTTTATCAATACTTCATCTTATCAATACTTCAGTTTATCAATACTTCATTTTAATCAATACTTCATCTAATCAATACTTCAGTTTATCAATACTTCATCTAATCAATACTTCATCTTATCAATATTTCAACTAATCAATACTTCAGTTTATCAATACTTCAGTTTTTTGATGCTTCACTTTCTAACATCCACTCTTTTCCACCGGGTGGCGGCGCTCTCTGCCCGTCACATCGCCATCTTGTTTCTGAATGGATCGATCGTTTAAATAAAGTTTTAAGTTAATTTGCACATGTGCAGTACGGATCGGGTTCCCGGGACAAATCCTGACCCCTCTGACCCGCTCAGCTTCACTAACCGCCATGACCCGAAGAATGACTTCCTGTCTGTGCTGCTTCCTCCATAACTCCTTCATGCAGAGCTCCCATTGGTCCACGCCCCCCCCCCCCCCCAATCAGGCTGCATGAGTGCTGATTGGCTGAGGCCTAACCCCTCTGTCCCCTGTATCCGTGTGTGTGTGTGTCCGTGTGTGTGTGTGTGTGTGTGTGTGTGTGTGTATCCGTGTGTGTGTGTGTGTGTGTGTGTGTGTGTGTGTGTGTGTGTGCGTGTGTGTGCGTGTGTGTGTGTCCCTCGCAGCACGTGTGTGAGACCGAGGACAGAGACGAGGTGGTCGTGTGCGAGCTCTGCGAGGCCAATGTGGCGAACTTTAACCAGCACATGAAGAAGAGTCACCCCGGCTGTGGGCGCAGCGCCAACCGGCAGGGTTACCGTAGCAACGGCTCCTACGTGGACGGCTGGTTCGGGGGGGAGTGCGGCAGCGGGAACCCGTACTACCTGCTGTGCGGCGCCTGCAGAGAGAAGTACCTCGCCATCAAGAGCAAAACCAAAGTCCCCGTGGTGGAGAGGTACGCGGGTCTCAGAACCGGGCTCAGGTCCTGGTGGTCCTGTGAGGGGGGGGTTCTGTTTGTTGATCAGCTCATGTATTCTGGTTCTTTGAAGGTTCTGGACTCTGACCCGGTCCTCGGTACTGTGAACCCGTTCATGTGTTCTAGTCTGTCACTCAGATTGGGTCCAAATCCCCCAGAAAGACCTGATCCATCTGGACTTTGAAGAACCTGTCTGACTGTGTTCTGGTCCGGTCTCGGTTCTGAAGTTCTGAACTTGTCTTCTGCTCTCAGGTATAAGGGTCAGGCTCCGGACCTCCTGGGGAAGCAGGACAGCGTCTATGAAGGTAAGAACCGGGTCTCAGGTGAGGTTCTCAGGTCTCCTGTGTTTTCTGGACCTGGTTCTGATCCAGTTGGTCTCCTGCAGAGGACTGGGACATGCTGGACGTGGACGAGGACGAGAAGCTGACGGGAGAGGAGGAGTTTGAGCTTCTGGCGGGACCGCTGGGTCTGACCGAGCGAAGGATCGTCCCCGAGGCCGTCCAGTTCCCCGACAGCGACCCGCTGGGAGCCTCCGTCGCCATGGTAACGGCCACCAACAGTATGGAGGAGACGCTGCTGCAGATCGGTGAGGGACACACAGACACACACAGAAACACACACAGAAACACACAGACACACACACACACACACACACACACACACATACACACACACAAACACACACTGAAACACACACAGAGACACACAGATACACACACACACAGATACACACACACACACACACACACACACACACATATTCATGTGTACTACCCCCGTTTTTACAACCTGTGTGTGTGTGTGTCTCTGTGTGTGTGTGTGTGTGTGTGTCTGTGTGTGTGTGTGTCTCTGTGTGTGTGTGTGTCTCCAGGCTGTCAGACCTCCGTGGATAAGTCCTCCTCCGGCAGGGTGACCCTCGGCGAGCAGGCGGCTGTGTGTCTGTGTGTGTGTGTGTGTGTGTGTGTATGTCTCTGTGTGTGTGTGTGTGTGTGTGTGTGTGTGTGTGTGTGTGTGTGTGTCTGTGTGTGTCACACACAGAACAGGAGGTCAGATCTGGTCTTTATTGTGGACCTGTGGGGGGTCGGACCCTCAGATCCAGGTGAGGACTCAGACTCAGTGAAGGGGGTTCAAACGGGAGTGAAGCGACGCCGTCGACTAAAACCAGTTCAAGCCGAGCTGCTGCGTTCTGAACCGGTCTGAGGAGGGAGTTACAGACGTCCAGCCCTGAGGAAATCAAACATGGATTATTATCCATGTGGGATAATAAATCCTGCAGGACCAGAACCAGAACCAGGACCTCACATTTCACCTCCTTTTCTCTCCTCCTTTTGTCCCCTCCCCTCAGTGGTTCCAGCTGCAGTCTTGCTGCTGGTCTGGAGTCTCTGGGTCTGACCGACATCCGGACTCTGGTCAGGCTGATGTGTTTGGCAGCGGCGGGTCGGGCTGGTCTCTCCACCAGTCCCACAGCTGGACCCGGACACGCTGAGAGGCCCCGGGGAGCCGCCAAGGCCAGCAAACCCATTTCCTGTCTGGCCTACCTCAGCACGGCGGTGGGCTGCTTGGCCTCCAACAGTCCCAACGCCGCCAAGCTGCTGGTCCAGCTCTGCACTCAGGTACATGGACTCACCTGTCAGCTGGGTCGAACCTGAGACTGTCAGCTTCAAATACAGAGGGAAAGAAACGACAAAAAAACCTGACAAAAAACCAGACAAAAAAACAGACAAAAAAACGACAAAAAACAACAACAAAAAACGGACATAAAACGGACATAAAACGACAAAAAAGACAAAGACGACAAAAAACAGACAAAAAAAACAGACAAAAAACAACAACAAAAAAAACAGACAAAAAAGACAAAGACGACAAAAAACAGACAAAAAAAACGACAAAAAAAATGACAAAAAACCAGACAAAAAACAACAACAAAAAAACAGACAAAAAAGACAAAGACGACAAAAAACAGACAAAAAAAAACGACAAAATAAAACGACAAAAAAAGATGAAAAAAACAGACAAAAAAAGACAAAAAAGACAGACGACAAAAAAACAGACAAAAAAAACAAAACAAAAAACAGACAAAAAAAAGACAAAAAACAGACAAAAAAAACAACAAAAAAACTGACATAAAACGACAAAAAAGACAAATACGACAAAAAAAAACCGACAAAAAAACAAAAACAGAAAAACCACAAAAAAAACAGACAAAAAAAGACAAAAAAGACAAAAAACAGACAAAAAACAAAACAAAAAACAGACAAAAAAAACAGACAAAAAAGACAAAAAACAGACAAAAAAACAAAACAAAAAAACAGACAAAAAAACGACAAAAAAAGGAAAAAAATTAAAAAAAGACAAAAAACAGACAGAGGAGGGACAGAGGGTTATACTCAAGTCTGCCTCTCTCTCTCTCTCTCTCTCTCTCTCTCTTCCCCCCCCCCGTAGAACCTGATCTCTGCAGCCACTGGCATGAACCTGACCACGGTGGACGACCCCATCCAGAGGAAGTTCCTGCCCAGCTTCCTGCGTGGCGTGGCGGAGGAGAACAAGCTGGTCACGTCTCCGAACTTCGTGGTGACCCAGGCTCTGGTGGCCCTGCTGGCCGATAAAGGGGCCCGCCTCAGACCGGCCTACGACAAGGCTGACATGGAGAAAAGAGGTTTGTAGTCCGGGAGGACAGGATGCTGGTCTAACCGGGTCTGAGTTGGTCTGAGTTGGTCTGGGTCTCCTCCTCTCAGCGAAATATTTGGTTCTGTGACAGTCCCAGAACCAGAATCTCATGTTTGGTTCCATCCCTCGGTATCACCTGGTCCTGGTTCTGCTCTCTGTTCCTGTTTTACTGGATTTTCTGTCCTTTAAAAAAAGGACCGAGGACGAGGCGGTCCACTTCCTCCTCCTTTATTTCTATTTTATTTCACTAAAGTCCAAATTTTTCAGCCGTGACCTTTTAACGCCAAAAACAGTGTTATTGAATTCAGACCGGTCCAATCGGCTTCATTTATAACATTGAAGTTTAACAAAGTGCTGCTCAGACCAGGTTCAGTCCTGTATCCCAGGTGGAGGCGGTCTCACCCCTGAATCTCCACCTTCATCCTGATCGTCTCCTAAAAGGTCGTATCCTCCGATCGTAGCTGATCGTAACCATTCAAGTTAACGTGTCAATTTACACCGACTTCTTTTCAAAATAAAACACTCCGTGTTTCAGGAGGATCGTATTTCACACCATGCAAACGGGCGGAGACGAACAAGTGAAAGGTTTTTAGACGTCATTTCACCCCGATGACACCATGGATGAGGAGATGCTGATTCTAAAGTCTAGAAGTAGATTTCCTCCTCCGGAAGGACACAATCTACTGCTTATATGTCTATGTGTCTGTCTTTATAGAGACAACTCGATATCGAGCGATTGAACGTGAATCCGCGGGTTCTTGTGAGTTCTCGCGATTACCGTTGTCTGTAATCCGCCATGAAATTCTCCTGACAAACAGACCCGGTAGGAATTGGCGGACGGCGAAAATTGCCGCCGTTCAGGATGCGGTGGAAATTGGGGGTCAGTGTCCCAGCTCCTGGTCATGTCCTGATGTTCTCGTGTGAACCATGGCGTTCTCTCTCTCTCTCTCTTTCTGTTCGCCTCGTTTCTCTGTGTTGGTCTTTTTTACCCATGATCCTTCTCTCTCACTCACGGGGAAACCTTCTCACCTTGTTTTTCGAGCAGGTCTAATTGCGCCTTTGTATGCCCATCCTTCCCATAATCCCTCCGCTGTAGGACCTCTGGAGCTGGCCAACGCTCTGGCGGCCTGCTGCCTGTCCTCCAGGCTCTCCTCGCAGCACCGCCAGTGGGCCGCCCAGCAGCTGGTCCGCACGCTGGCCGCCCACGACCGCGACAACAACCAGAGCCGGCCGCAGACCTTTGCTGACATGGCGGGGGACCTGAGGAAGGTCTCCTTCATCAAGCTGGAAGCCCACCAGAGCAGAGTGAGTGACAGCTGAGGACCTCCGAGGAGCTGCAGTCTACCTCCAGATAGATCAATAGATAGATCAATAGATAGATCGATCAGTTTTTATTTTTTCTGTATATTAAATTAAACACCATCACGCTGTGATATGGAAACCAAACAACGACACTTCGTTGCAGAGAAAAATCACTGCTGTGTTTTATTCTGTGCATTGACAAATAAAGAAAGTCTAAGTCTAAGGTAGTCTGGGTTTTGGCGCCCCCTGTGGACAAAGTCTTTACTCCTGTTTGTTAAAATTCTGAATCTGGATCAGGTTGATATGATCCAGTCTTTGTGGAAACAGCAGAACCAAAGTTAGCGGGGTTAGCTGACGGTGCGACCCGAGTCTAAAGAACTGATTTTGAGTCTGAAGGAAGGATGTCTCTCTCCTGTCGTTACAGGTCATCACCTGTGGGTGGTGCTCTAAGAAAGGCCTGCTAGCCACCAGCGGGAATGACGGGACGGTCCGAGTCTGGAATGTAACGAAGAACCAGTACAGCCTTCAGCAGACCTGCATCTTCAACAAAGAGTAAGACCAGTCTAACTCCGAGTTTAAGTTTGTAACCTGAGTTTAAGTTTGATAACTGAGTTTAAGTTTGATAAGTCTGAGTTTAAGTTTGATAACTGAGTTTAAGTTTGATAACTGAGTTTAAGTTTGATAATGAGTTTAAGTTTGATAACTCTGAGTTTAAGTTTGATAACTGAGTTTAAGTTTGATAACTCTGAGTTTAAGTTTGATAACTGAGTTTAAGTTTGATAACTGAGTTTAAGTTTGATAACTGAGTTTAAGTTTGATAACTCTGAGTTTAAGTTTGATAACTGAGTTTAAGTTTGATAACTGAGTTTAAGTTTGATAACTGAGTTTAAGTTTGATAACTGAGTTTAAGTTTGATAACTCTGAGTTTAAGTTTGATAACTGAGTTTAAGTTTGATAACTGAGTTTAAGTTTGATATAACTCTGAGTTTAAGTTTGATAACTCTGAGTTTAAGTTTGATACCTGAGTTTAAGTTTGTGATAACTCTGAGTTTAAGTTTGATAATGGAGTTTAAGTTTGATAATGGAGTTTAAGTTTGATAACTCTGAGTTTAAGTTTGATAACTCTGAGTTTAAGTTTGATAACTCTGAGTTTAAGTTTGATAACTCTGAGTTTAAGTTTGATAACTGAGTTTAAGATTGTTAACTGAGTTTAAGTTTGATAACTCTGAGTTTAAGTTTGATACCTGAGTTTAAGTTTGATATAACTCTGAGTTTAAGTTTGATACCTGAGTTTAAGTCTGATATAACTCTGAGTTTAAGTTTGATATAACTCTGAGTTTAAGTTTAATATAACTCTGAGTTTAAGTTTGATATAACTCTGAGTTTAAGTTTGATATAACTCTGAGTTTAAGTTTGATACCTGAGTTTAAGTTTGATAACTCTGAGTTTAAGTTTGATAACTGAGTTTAAGTTTGATAACTGAGTCTAAGTTTGATATAACTCTGAGTTTAAGTTTGATAACTCTGAGTTTAAGTTTGATACCTGAGTTTAAGTTTGATAACTCTGAGTTTAAGTTTGATAACTGAGTTTAAGTTTGATAACTGAGTCTAAGTTTGATATAACTCTGAGTTTAAGTTTGATAACTCTGAGTTTAAGTTTGATTACTCTGAGTTTAAGTTTGATAACTCTGAGTTTAAGTTTGATAACTCTGAGTTTAAGTTTGATAACTGAGTTTAAGTTTGATATAACTCTGAGTCTAAGTTTGATATAACTCTGAGTCTAAGTTTGATATAACTCTGAGTTTAAGTTTGATATAACTCTGAGTTTAAGTTTGATATAACTCTGAGTTTAAGTTTGATACCTGAGTCTAAGTTTGATATAACTCTGAGTTTAAGTTTGATACCTGAGTTTAAGTTTGATAACTCTGAGTTTAAGTTTGATAACTCTGAGTTTAAGTTTGATAACTCTGAGTTTAAGTTTGATACCTGAGTTTAAGTTTGATATAACTCTGAGTTTAAGTTTGATAACTGAGTTTAAGTTTGATACCTGAGTTTAAGTTTGATATAACTCTGAGTTTAAGTTTGATATAACTCTGAGTTTAAGTTTGATACCTGAGTCTAAGTTTGATATAACTCTGAGTTTAAGTTTGATACCTGAGTTTAAGTTTGATAACTCTGAGTTTAAGTTTGATAACTCTGAGTTTAAGTTTGATACCTGAGTTTAAGTTTGATATAACTCTGAGTTTAAGTTTGATAACTGAGTTTAAGTTTGATACCTGAGTTTAAGTTTGATATAACTCTGAGTTTAAGTTTGATATAACTCTGAGTTTAAGTTTGATAACTCTGAGTTTAAGTTTGATAACTCTGAGTTTAAGTTTGTGATAACTCTGAGTTTCTGTTCTGTCCTCAGTGACGGGTCTTCAGAGGAGGGGATGTCCGGTCTTGGATCTCCCAGCGACCCCTGCCTCTCCCCTCTGGCGTGGAGCGTCACGGGGAAATACCTCGCCTCTGCCATGGAGAAGATGGTCAACATCTGGCAGGTTAACGGTGCGTGTCTGTGGGAGCTCCTCCTCCTCTTCTCTGATTTGTTTGGTTCTCCAGAGTTCTGATGATGATGATGAGGAGGAGGAGGAGGAACTTTAGTGGGTCACCTGGAGCCCCTAAAGGGTGTCCTGTGGGTTTTAGGACCAGGACTTTAGAGCTGCATAAAAACGCCAAAAATGAGGCGTTTTTCTGTTAAGGTCCATTAGTCAGACTGACCGGTCAGGTCCGGTTCCGCTGACCTCCCACTCTGACCTTGTTTCCTTCCTTTTAGGGGGTAAGGGTCTCCTGGACGTGCAGCCTCACTGGGTGTCGGCGCTGGCTTGGCCCAAAGAGGAGGTGGAGTCTTTGTGGTGCGGGGAACCCAAAGACATGCTGCTGGTGGGTCGGATGGACGGGTCTCTGGGCCTCATCGAGGTGCTGGACTCCTCTAGTATGCACCGGACCGAGCTGGAGCACTGCTACAGGAAAGACGGTAAAAATGGGGGGTGGTCTGTGCGCTCTAAAGACCCTGTCAGACTGGGACCCCTGTTAGCAAAGACCAGGTGGGAGTCCCTGTTTGTCTGAGGGAGGGGGGTTGTTCCGGATCATGAGACTTTCTCTGAGTCCTTCAGAAGTTCAGGTTTTCTGATTTGGTGAAACGTTTCTCAGGATTTTGCCAAAACCTTTGAGATCTCACAGGAGTGTCTGAAGATCCCGCAGAATCTGGTTCCCAAGAATTTAGTAAAAGGTTTCCAGGACCACCTCTGTCCCCTCTAAAGTCGAGCTTGTCCTCCTCCTCCCTCAGTGGCAGTGATGCACATCGCCTGGTACAGCGAAGACAAGCCGTTCGCCGTGGGCTACGCCGACGGGAAGCTGCTGATCGGATCCAAAGAGCCTCTGGAAAAAGGCGCCATCGTGGTCATCGATGCACACAAGGTAACCTCTGACAAAAGTCCTCCATCAGACCCAGGCGATCTTCTCAGAGCTGACCCTCCTGATGGTCTTTGTCTTCCAGGAGTCCATCACCAGTATGAAGTGGAGTCCTTCAGGTCAGATCCTGATGACCTGTGCCAAAGAGGAGACAGTCAAGCTGTGGTCCAGTCCTGACCTGTCCCCCGGTTCAGACTCAGATTCAGGCTGGCGCTGTGTCCAGAGTCTCAGACACCCGTCTCTGGTTAACAGTGTGGCGTGGTGCAGCCTGCCTGGACGAGCACCAAAGCCCCTCAGCATGTTAGCTGTGTAGGTCACTCTTCTGACTATGGTCTGACTATAGTCTGATTATAGTCTGACTATAGTCTGATTATAGTCTGATTAAAGTCTGACTATAGTCTGATTAAAGTCTGATTATAGTCTGATTAAAGTCTGACTATAGTCTGATTAAAGTCTGATTAAAGTCTGATTATAGTCTGACTATAGTCTGATTATAG